AAAAAAGAAAGAAAGAAAAGAAAAAAAAACAAGTACAGAAGAAAAGACCAGGGCAGACAAAGATAGAACAAATATTCAAAAGATAAAATAATCCAATTGAAAAAGCAGACAAGAGTGATTTTATAGCCACCAAACTAAAAATTGAGGAAAGCCTTATGATGTTTTCAATAAAAGGAGCAAAAATCATCTGAAAAACCTTAATACCATGACTCAGTGAGATTTTTCAGAGGCCCAGACACTTGCCACCAAGTTTTGTTTTGTTCTGACAACCTGAATTTTGTCCCCAGGACCCACATGGTGGAAGGAGAGAACTGGCATCCACCAATTGTCCTCTGACCTTCACAAGTGTGCATGCATGTGCATACACACACACACACGTAAATAAATAAATCTAACAAGTCAATATCTACCTGGGATTAAAAAGAATCTTTCAGAAATAGAACTTTTTCCCAATGATGGGTCATCATTGTTATCTGTCAGAATCTGCAGGAGACAGTTAATTCTAAGTTCTGGGACCTTGAGTGAAGCCAGCCGGTGTGAACTGAGCCATGAGCTGATGAGACGTCAGAGGACATGGGTTGACATGTAGCCCAACTGATAAAGCACTTGCTTAGCATGTGCGAGGCCCTGAGTTCAATGACCAGCACCCAAAATAAACGAAAGCAGAGAACAGAAGGAAGCGCTGCAGCCAGTCTGCAGAAGATCCCCACAGAGTGCACAGAGGGTTCCACCACAGGTGTCTACTGCCAGCAAGCATCAGTTAGGATGTGCTGTGCATTACCAAAAATGCAGTGAAAACCAAATTAGGACTCCTCACAGATTCTAAGGAGGCAGAAAAAACACATCTAAAGAATTAGCTCTGAGCCAGACAGCAAACAAGACTCTATACACAATGCACAATACACAATCAGGAAAGCAGCAGCACCTGGAAAGGAAAATGGACAAAACCAGCATGGCTTTAAAGGACAAACTGTACATTTGTTCCATTATTTTCCATCCAGCAAACAAACTACTGAACACTGTATGCCAGTCACCCCAGGTAAGCAAGAGCTAGGGTGCACCAGGTTTGGTCACTTGAACTTGATATGGAGAGTCATTGAATTTCAGTAGAGACTGACATAATTTGCTTTGTGTTTTTGAGAGCACTGTTGGGCAAAACCGAGTCAATATAAACGATGATGAACAAAAAGCTGGTTTGTGTTGAGCTTCTGGTGTTTTGTGGTGGTGGTGGTTTTTTGTTTTGTTGTTGTGGGTTTTTTGTTGTTGTTGTTGGTGGTGGTGGTTTTGTTTTTTGTTTGTTGTTATTGTTTTTCTTTTTCTTTTTTTTTTTTGTTGATTGGTTGATTAGTTTTTTGAGACAAAAATCTCACCTACCCCAGACTGGTCTTGAACTCCTGACCCTCTTGTTTCCACCTCCCAAGTGCTGGGGTGCCACCCTGCCCAGACTCTGAGTGTTGATTTCACCATAACAAGTGGAATCCTTCCATTGTGTCAAAGAAGAACCATGGCAAGAGTTCAGGAGCAAATAATCTTGACAGTACCAGCAAGCAGAGAGGATAAGGGGAAGGGGTAGATAATTGAAGTGTCTCAGTCATGGCCAGAAGCTACCTTGCCTTCTGGCCACACCCCTCCAGCTGAAGCCTGGCCCTAGATGAGGAGTCACAGCCCTGTGGAGACAAGAGACAGTAAAAGGCCTGGATAGGCACTAGGCACTCGCATCTTTGTAGATGATCCACTCCACAGTGGGCATTTCCACTGAATGAGTATTTGTAAGGTGGTAGTGGTTTCAAGTTGTTAAAAGACAAAGTTTGTTTCTGTTTTTTGTTTTTCGTTTTGTGTTTTATCACCTAGTTGAGTTTTAAAGATTAATAGAAACTAAACCTTTCTGCAGCTAGTCATGGGAAGGATGACTGAGTAGTATTGCAAGGGGACAATTCGCTGAAGGGTTACTATGTACAAAGCGCTGTGTTGAACATTTGCCATGTATTATTTCATTTAACATCCTTCGCCAGCTTATAAGGTAGCACTATCTGCAGCATCCTTATTTCAGAACATGGGGAAGACCAAGATGGAGAGATATGAGGTAACTTGAATGTCCCAGACCTGACTGACCCACGAGAATCAGAATATAATAGGAGACCATCAGTAAGTGAAGCTGTAGACACATACTTCAGTGCGCTATTGTAATTAAGAAAGCAAGATCCCTCTGTATTTGAGTCTTTAAGAGGGCAGGTTCCCTGGTATCCTAGTTACTCTTCTGTTGCTGTGATAAAATAGCCTAAGGGATTTATTACATCATGATGGGGAAGACACAATGGTGGGAAGGAGTGCCGGCAGGCAGGGAAGGCCTGGCTGGTCACATCATATCTGCATTTAGGAAATAAACAGTGAACAGGAAGTGGAGCCAGGCTATAAGACCTCGAGGCCCAGCCCCAGTGACACACTTCCTCCAGTGAGGCTTGGCCTCCTAAAGGTTCCACAACCTCTCAGAACAGCTAGGGGCCACGTGTTCAACTAAGTGAGCCTATGAGGAACATTTTATGTTCAAGCTACAACACCTGTAAACCTTTTCAAGAGGCTGTATCTACAGATTCCCCAAAGGGACTTTGTCTATTAAAGAGCAGAAGGCTTTAAAAAAAACTGAGCCAGAGCCAATAAAATCACCAACTATTCTACTGATAAAGGAAAATTAAGTGGCTCAGTGCATCTTGTGTTTGCTCCATGTGTGGCAAGGGAAGTCACTGTGACGCATAGGGAAGTCCGTTGTGAGCAAGATTTTCAGGACACATGAGACGGAAGCAAGGACATGTCATAGAGGGCACCAATCTAACTAGATTGTGCAGATCCTCGTAGCAGAGCGACTGAATTTGAAAAACAAAAGCAAAAGAGTCTCTACAGACAGCAAAACAGTGCTTTAAAGCTGTTTCTTTTGGATTGGGGACAAGGAAGAGGAAGCCCAGAGCGGTTGGCAGATGGTGCCGTGGTAGTCGATAAGGAGAAGCAGCATTTGCAGCTCGCAGCTTCTCTGTTTTCTCTATCGTGGAAAACGGTTCCTAATGTAGAAACATTAAACAAACATCTAGAAGAAATTGACTCTGGATAGATGATAAAATGAGCTTTGAATTTAGATTGTTTTTTTTAAAGAATTTACTATTTTTAAATTGGCTGTGTATGTGTGTTGTGTGTGCCTGTGTGTGTTATTGTGTTGTGTGTGTGTTGTGCATGTGTGTGTCTGTGTGTGTTTTGTATGTGTCTGTGTTAGTGGTGTGTGATGTGTGTATGTTGTATAGTGTGTGATGTGTGTGGTGCCCCACAGAAAAAGGATTAATTGTACATACTGCTCTCACAGAAGACAGTAGTTCAGTTCTCAACACCATGTCAGGAAATTTACATCTACTTATAACTCCAATTACAGGGCATCTGAATTCCTCTTTTGGACTCCAAAGAAACCCACACTCACATGTACTTACCCACATAGATACATTTTTTAAAAGAAAAAAGAAATGTGTCATTTGGATAAAATAGTCAAGAGATTTCCCTATAACAGAGAAAAACAAGTTGGTATTTAATTCATTTTAGTTAATTAGTTAGTTAGTTTTTTGAGACAGGGTCTTTCTACATAGTCCAGACTGGCCTGGGACTTACTATGTAGCAGGGGTTGGCTTTGAATTCATGGCAATCTTCCTGCATAGGCCTCCCAAATGCTGTGATACCAGGTGTGTCCTTCCACACTCAGTTTAACAAGATGGTATTTAATAAGATACATGCAAAGTCTTGAACTGGATTAAGAAAAGGACTCACTACCTAAACAAAACATGGAACATCATTGCACCATCACTGCGGTGGAAAGACAGAGTTCCTTTGTTAGTGAATATGAAGTCCAATGACCAGGCTGTTAAAAAACAATATCTGTAGCCCTGGATCACAGGACAAAGGTGTGAGAGTCTCCCCCGCCTCCTCTATATTTCCAGAGGGTTACTTTGTTGAGTTTTGAGTCAATCAGATCACAAAGATTATCAGACACTACTTTTTCTAGATACACTGAACTCTCTCCAAATTTCTTGAGATAGGGAACATAACTTATCCCTCTATCCCTGACTTTGATAGAAACCGAATAAGCAAAATTCTTTTTGCAACCTTGAATTAGGGGCTGGAGAGAGGGCTCAGTGAGTAAGAGCACTAGCTGCTATTCCAGAGGACCCAGGCGTGATCCCCAGCACCATATGGCAGCTCACAACTGTCTGTAACACCAGTTCCTGGGGAAACTGTTCTCCTCTTCTGACCTCCATGGGCCGCAGGCACGCACAGGATACACAGCTAAGTCTCTGTTTAATAAAGGGGGGTATCTATGCTGTGATATCATAGGGGTACAAATTCATGCACAGGATACACAGCTAAGTCTCTGTTTAATAAAGGGGAGTATCTATGCTGTGATATCATAGGGGTACAAATTTCTCTCCTGTGAGACTCAATTCTAGTTGTGATTTTTTTTTCATCATTTGGCTTTTCTTCAGAAGAAAAAAAATCAAAATGCCCATCACCTGCCTGTGATCAAATGTGGTGTGAGCATCCCTGGCCTGAGAAGGGACCACACTCTACCTGGGCACTCTGTATGAGTTTGATTTACAGAGGGGTGATGGGATGGGAAAAGGTCCCTGGCAGGCAGCTAGGGCTTCTCTGACACAGACACACATCAGTTTTATGGACACACAAGTAGGCAGGAAATGAGTCCTTGGCAGTAGGACATTAGTCATCACAGGCATGTGCCCTTGGAATTGAAGTAGCCATGTCCTCCAGGCCCCAGAGGACGCCCCCAGAGCAGGCACAGGTGGGTTTCATTTGTGATGCCCATGACCTTGAGGTATCCACAGGGTGCCAGGAGCTGCTCCCTGCCGAGCCCTGCTTGCCACAAACATGGCCTGCTAAAGTGGCTCGGAAGCAGTTTGATCATGGGGCGAGAAATGCCAATCTAACCCATTTGTCATTGATTTCTTAAGCAGATTCAGGGACACAGGACGAAGCCCAGCTTTTGCAGGAATGGTTTAAGCTGGTTCTGGAGAAGAATAAATTAATGCGATATGAGTCGGAGCTACTGATCATGTAAGTAAGGCAACACAGATAACAGTGAGTGCTAACAGCCTGGTAGCAGGAGCGGGTGGCTCACCGTCCTTGGCTGGAGTCCCAGGGTTTTTCTTCTTTGTGCATACGGAACAGTGATTGAGGCAAATTGGTGTTTTGTGTCTTGCATATCATGCTGGCATTAGTGGAAAGACTCTTTAGTGGCCCGCGATCTCTTCGGAGTTCAGTGGCTAAAATAGATTTTAGAAGCAGGTAAGGAGCTAGAAGGCAGCCAGCCCATTCCTGGCCCCCAGTCACACACCATCAGTGGGGAAGCTGTGCTTGGCCTGTGTGTGAACCATGGGAAATCTACCTGACCACTTCCTGGCAGCTTTAATGAAAGAAGGGCTGAACACAGGCTGTCCGGGATCTGTCTGTGTGTCTTTTTGGACAGAGGGCTGGTGGCCTGGTCAGATGGTCAAAATGAAGACTTATGGTTCATCACATGATCCTGAAGCAGACGAAGGACACCGTACCTGCCAGCATACTGGACAGAGAGAAAACAGCATTGAGAGTAAACCCCTAAGCTCTAGAACTATGCAGGAGTTTTCATTTATGCTTTTGGTTTTCACTCTGATCCTGAGTGGTCATCCGGGGAGCTTTAGAGAGAGGATCCACTCTTCCCTGCCCAGGTTGTGAACCAGGCGAGAAACAGGTAAGCCATCCCAATATCACCTTTATTATTAAAGGTGACTAATAGCTGAGGATGAGAACCCAGGCCGGCTTGCAGGGCTCCTGACAAACTATAAACAAGACGACTCACAACTACAGAAGCATCTCCCCCAGTCTGGAAGGCAGAGGTCCACATGAAGGCGCCAAGGGAGCCTCATTCTCCCAGACACTCAGGGTGCTTCCTTGTCCCCTCTGCTTCTCGTGGCTCCAGGGATTCTTTGGTGGTGGCTGTGTCTCACCCCATCTCCACATGGTATTCTCTGTGTGTCTGTGTCTCCTCGTCTGTCTCTTTGAAAGTCTCCCTGGGCTGAGGGCTCTCTGATAGAATCTAGAATTTAGCCATCTCAAGGTCCCTAACCGTGTCTGCAAAGACCCCTCTTAAAGTAACATCACATTTACTATTTTCAGGGCTTAGGATGTCGACATGTCTTTCTTATTCAACCTGTGACACTTAGTCAAATCTAACAATTGGTATATCTACCTCATGAAAAAGGGAGTGGACCTACTTGATCTTTAGAGGAAAGGCTTTATCCTAGACCTTGGGTCTCAAGAGTGGAGAGGGGGCGATATCCCCAGAGGCGACATATGCAAAGGCCAAGAAGATGAGTTTGATTGTCACATGTGGGGCTCCGACTAAAGGCTAGTGAATGCAGGACAAGGGTGCTAAGCTTTCTTCCTATAACACACAGAGCAGCCCCTCCTCCCACCTGCAAGCCAGCAGCCTAAAGCCAGCAAAGCTTAGGGGACTTGAGAACGAATGGCTGCTGAAGATAGACAGAGCCTGGGAGAGAAGGATAAGCGAGGTGAACATGCCTCATCTATTTTTGCAAAATCTACCTGAGAGTGAGGATGGGAGGGGTTAGAGGAAGAGGCCAGGAGTTACACTCTCTACTCTCCATCCGCATGGAATGGAAAGAGGGGGATCCTCTCTAGGAATCGTTTGCTTCTAGACTATCGTTTTCAGTTGATGAGTATAATGAGCCTCAGAGGAATCAAATAAAGTGTGTCCATATCTGCCTTGCATGCGGCCATACAGTCTGTATTGGAATTAGGTCTGAATTATAAAGTCGTTTCAACAGAAATTTATCAAGAGCATCTTTGAACTGGGAACTCAGCTGGTTTCTATAGAAATAGGTCATAGTCGGGCATGGTAGTACAAGCCAAGAGCCCCAGCACTTCACAGGTTGAAGGGGCAGGGCAGAGAAGTGACCACATGGCAATGAGACAGCCCATCGAGAGTTTCATGAAGGGTGCAAGAGTCTGTCTTGGGGAGAAGGGAGACCAGCTGTGGCTGCAGGCCAGAGCCAACAGCTAGCTTCACCAGAGAGCGCTCTGGCCAAGGACTTCTTCCTCAAAAGAGGTCAAATAGGACAACCGGGGTGTGTGCACTGGACAGAGGCATGTTGGAGGTTTTGGTTGGAGGATGAACAGGGAGAGCTGTCTTAGATTGGCGTGTCAGGTCAGACCCTTTGGGCAGGCAGAATGAGTGATATGTAAGATTATTTGAGCACGACACCTGTGAAGGATAAAGAGAAAGAGGACAGGGTAGTGCAGAGTCTTGGGCCCCTGTTGCTGTTCTGATGCCTTGTAACAACTGAGGACAGAGACTTGGGCAGGAGTTCTGGTGTGAATGGCTCCGAGTCTCTGCCGAAGCAGACAACATCAGAGTGGAGACAGCCCATCAGAGGGCTCCATGTTTGGAAGGACTTGCCAGGTCTCACACCTCTATGATGCTTAGTCCTTGGCTGGGAGTCACCCAGGAATAACAGAGCTTCAGCATGACATTGAAGGTGATCCTATAGCAGCCTCCTTGTCATTAAGCTCCTCCCAGAGACTCTCTGAGAGCTGCCATCACCTCTGAGTTCCTACATAGGGCCCAGTTGTCATTAATAAGGTGGGACTTCCACCCAAACAACTTTGTGGATTTTTTTTAAAGATTTATTTATTATGCACACTGGTCATCTCCCTCACAGTTTCCATCCCAGACCCCCAGAATAAAGGAGGGGCTTAGGGAGCCCTGCTCTCTTGAATACCATCAATAAAGTTCACTAGACCCGTCAAAAAAAAAGATTTATTTATTAAGTATACAGTGCTCTGCCTGCATGTATGCCTGCAGGCCAGAAGAGGGCACCAGATCTCATTACAGATGGTTGTGAGCCACCACGTGGTTGCTGGGAATTGAATTCAGGACCTTTGGAAGGGCAGGCAGTGCTCTTAACAGCTGAGTCATCTCTACAGCCCGCAACTTTAGAAGTAGAGGTAGTAACAGGGCTGAGAATGTAGCTCAGCTGGTAGAGTGCTTGCCTAGCATTCGGAAAGCCCTGGGTTCAATCCCCAGCACTACTGGGGTAGCGGCACACGTGTGTAATACCAGCAATGTACACAGGGGTTGAGGGGGTGTCAGGAAGAGCGGAGGTGCAAGGTGACATAGCAATTCTGAGGTCAGCCTGCAGTACATGAACCCCCAACTCAAAAACAAAGAAAAATAAATATGAAAACTAATGGCAGCAACGAGGTAGAATAAGGGGACTCAACACTATCATAGGCACTCATGCAACTATAGGTTGGGTCTAGAAGAGAATGTTCTAACAGAGGGACCCATTTCCAATCTTTGGTCTTCTTTTGTGGCCCTGGAGCAATGGCCCACAGCCTCTAGTCTCTGTGAGGGTGCATAAGCAGCTGTGCCCTTCAACCCTTGAGGGTCACTCAGTCCTTCTCTCCTCAACCCTGTTCTTTCTCTACAGTCTTTCCTTAAGGATCATGTGACTCTATGTGTCACCTCTTGACATTACCACATCTGTCTGGGTCCTTGTTTCTCTGGTGAATTCCAGAGTGGCATTTAGGAGTCCCCCCAACACTGCATGGGCCAGCATCTGGGGAGCTACACAGCGAGGAATGCCTGAGACATCACCAGGCTCTGAAAAGTTAAGTCCTCAGTTGACTGTCAAAGAGGACTCGGCTCCACTCCCTGCTCTGCTGGTCCCCACAGAGGCAAACCCTAAAGAACAGTGTGGTGATCTCCAGCATCGTCCCCTCTGGCTGTCTCATCATCTCTCAAATACAGCACATCTCAGTCATCTTTCTAGGCCCCTCTAGTGGTCCCAGCAGTAGCAATGCCTTCTATTTAGAGGTATTAGAAGATGCCAGTTTTAATGGGGAAAAAGACTGTGCCGGTCACTGACCACGGGCAACTCCCTCATGTTTCCACGTATTCCCCTGTTGATTGTTGGAACATTTTCTTGTACTCAGGGCCCAAGAACTGGAACTAGAAGATCAGCAGAGCAGACTGGAGCAGAAACTACGACAGAAAATGCTCAAGGATGGTGAGTATGGGGCACATTTGGGGTCCCTGCTGAAGACACCCTGCAGGACATTTGAGCAAGGCACCCTACGATATGATGGAGAGGCCATCCCACCTTATGTAGCCACCAGTTTGAGACCAGAACACAAGGCCAGCCTGTTCCTTGACTTCCCCTGAAGCCCAGCAGGTCTCCAGCAGGTGTCATTCCCTTGTGAGGGCCACATTTCCTTCATCCCATGTGTTGATAGGAATAAAGCAATTTACTTAATTTTTAAATGCGTTTTCATTAAGGTGGACTCTTGTGTAGTTTAAACTGGCCTTGAACACCCGGTCTTCCTGCCTCTGTATATTCATTACCTTGCTCATGGCTGTGACCAAATACCTGAAGAGGTTTGTTTTGTCTCACAGTTTGAGGGGGGCACGGTCCCCACATCTGGAAGGATGGTGACTGGTGGGTCTGTGGTAGGAGGAGCATGCTCTTACAGAGCAGGGAACAGAGATGGGACAGGAAGCCAGGAAAGACTATAAACCTCATCCCTTGCCCGACAGTGACCCAGTTCCTCCTGTGAAGCCCCACCTCCCAAAAGATCAGAAAATCTTCCAAAGCAATGCCACCAGGTAGGGACCAAGTGTTAAACACATGAGCCTATGGGGGAGATTTTCCTATTAAAACCATACTGCTCTGCCTCTCACCTGCTGGGTTTCTGGATATGTGCCGCCATGCCCAGCAAGCACAGTGGTGTCCGTCTATTTACTTAACTATCCTTTCACTTAGCAAATATTTATGGAAAAGGTAGTTCAGGCTCAGCACAAGGCGAAGACCAGCCCCTCCCCACTGGGAGTTTGCGATCTCAATGGGGAGACCAGTAGCCAGATCAGTTATCACAGAACATGAGGACAGTAAAAGTTGTTGGGGGCCATGGAGAAGTCAGACCTGGCTCTGCCGGGCACTAGAAATGGTAATAAGAATAATCCCTGGTGGCATGGGCTGGGACCATGACGGGGCACTGTGTGTGAGGCAAATATCCCACAGGGCTTTATGAATTCATTGACTCCGGTCATAAGAGTACTTGCTCTAAGGTGTGCTTGTGGGATTGTGGGTCTGGCCTATGATGACTTTCTGACACTGACATCTTACAGGTCTTCTAGATCGCATAGGGCCAGCGTTATCCCAGCCTCACTGGGTTACCTGGTACTGCGAATCATCATTTTTGGTTAAGTATTTTATTGCCATTTTAAGACTTGAAAACCAAGTCTCAATGAAGAGAAATAATCAAGGTGAGAGCTGGGCTCCAGTTTAGCACAAACTCATCCCCCACCCATGGAAGAGTGATTTACAAGCTCCTCTCTCTCATTCAAGGTCTCCCTCTACAGCTGAGACTCAGCCCAGACTATTGCTTTATTTTAGAAAACTACACTTTCATTTTATCTGTGTGTGGGCATTGGGGACACACATGCCACAGCACACATGTGGAGGTCAGAGGACAGTTTGTGCGACTTGGTTCTCTTCTTCCACTATGCGGGTCCTAGGAATTGAATTCGGGTCATTAGGGTTAATAGCTGGCACCTTCATCTGCTGAGCCATTTCTGTTTCTCAGAAGCCTTATAGGGCTGCATTATATAGCACTATTAAGAAAGGCATTCGAGGTAGCCATGGTGGTGCATGCCTGTAATCCCAGCAGCAAAGAACAAGAGGGACCTTGTGGGAGAACAAGGTGGAACCCAAGAACCAACTCTTGAAAGTTGTCCTTCAACCTCCACACCCATGCCATAGTGGTGCTTCCCTATAATCCCAGTCCTTCAGAGGTGGAAGCAAGAGAATCAGGAAATCTCGACCAGTCTCAGCTACATACAAGCTTGACACCAGTCTGGGATAGAGGAGATGGCACCACACAGGTGCACACACACACTTCATGTTTAAAACAAGACAAAAATACGATTTATCGTTACATACAGATGGCAGAAGTGTTGCTCTCATTGATGTAGGAGCCCCTGATGCGGGCAGTTTGGCTTGCTTTGGCTCAGATGTGCTCAGGAAAAAGGCCTGTTTGCTGTCCTTCTTGGAGGGGAAGGAGGCTTGAGGCTCAACAGGGTATGGCTGCATTAGTTCTCTTTCTCTCAGGTGCCCCTCCCCCACTACACACTCATTGACACACAAACATGCTCTCTCTCTCTCTCTCTCTCTCTCTCTCTCACACACACACACACACACACACACACACACACACACGCACGTGAAATATGAGCTGACTCCAGCACAAAGCACTCACCTTTCTCCTCTTTGGCTTTAAGGACAGCTCCTCAGTGTTAAATTCACTTCCTTGTAACCAAGCCCAGAACAATTGTGAACTCCCATGCTAAGAATTCCCCTGGCCCCAATCTTACCTGGGCGCTTAGTTTTTTCTTCTTTCTTTCTTTAGAGGGCCAGAAAGATGAGAATGATCTAGAGGAGGAGCAAGAAATATTCAAGGAGATGATGCAGGTGATTGAGCAAAGAAACAAGCTTGTGGAGTCCCTAGAGGAACAGCGTGTCAAAGAAAGAACCCAAGACCAACACTTTGAAAACTTCGTTCTCTCCAGAGGCTGTCAGCTCAGCAGGACGTGAGATGCCCTCCCCACCCCACTGAAGCTAGAGAGCCAAGAACACCACACTTTCTCACCAAGTTACTGAATTTAGACCTTACTGCTTAAAAGAGAGAAAGAGAGAGAGAGAGAAAGAAAGAAAGGAGAGGGGGAGAGAGAGAGAAAGAAAATTAAATGCCTCTCATATGAGCTCCATATGGTAGTTCACATGTGTAATCCCTGCTGAAGAAAGCTGAGGCAGGAGGACTGCTGTGAGTTCCAGGCCACCCTGCATTATACAAGGAGACCCTGTCTCAAAAAGCAGACATCTCTTGTAGGTCTTACATCTGTTATGGCTTCCCAAGGTTTTTTCCTTTATGAAAAACTGACTCTTGAGCTTTGGCAGTGCACACAGCCAGTCCTGAGAGTGCAGGTGATCTTGGCAGATGACCAGCATTGTTTGCTCCCTGGAAAGTCACACAGGCTTGACCTCTCGGCTGCCTTTGTCATTTTTCTTTATAATTCATTGAGTTACATGTTTTAAGACTTCTAAGAAATGCCTTTTCATTAATACGCCCATATTTGTCTTTTTTGCACGGCTGACCAGTTTCCAAATGTCAGGACACAGCAGCGGCAGTTTAAAGATTAGCTTAATATTTAAATTGTGTTTCCAGAGAAAGCAGAGAAACCCTGAGATTACTGATTAAATAAAGCCAATAACTCATATAGCAGGTGTTAATTCAATCCAGGGTGAATTTAATTTACCAGGTATATTTATAAGCCTTAATATAATATACATAAGCAATGAGAGTTAATTTAATTTTTTTAAAAGAAAAAAGGAAATAAAACTTGAAGTTCATGCCAGCAGGATTCTTTGGTTTTCACCAAATCTGCTACCTTTGAAGCCTCTTATTCCCACAATGTTCTGTTTGTAGCCCTGGACTATAATAAGTACTTTTAGGAAATGAATGGTTTTATAGTACTTTTTGAGGGAGCTTTGGTGATGGCAGAAAGAGAAGCTTTCATTTGTTGATAAAACACTGGTGAGCTGACTACTACTACTAAAAAACACACTGTGGTACCAGGGGAAGCCGCTTTTCCATGGTCACCTATGGTCATCTTAAGTGCATGACCTTTTTGAGACAAAGACAAAACCACTTCTAACTTCCAGGTAGAACTGAGGGCAATGCCCATATTTATTGAACTCCAAATTGAGTCATGAGTGTGTGTGTGTGTGTGTGTGTGTGTGTGTGAGAGAGAGAGAGAGAGAGAGAGAGAGAGAGAGAGAGATTAAAAGAGAGAGACACAGAGAGAGAGGATAGAGAGACCGTTTAAATTTGCAAAAAAAAAAAATGTTTGTGGATCGAGTGGCCATGTCAACATGTTGGGTTTCCTTGAGTATACAGGAACGAAAGAAGACAAGAGTTAGTGTTGATATATTTGCCATAAGTTATTGGAAACACAATAGGTTCCATGCCAGCCAAGGTGACATAATCAGACTTCGTCTCAAAAAATATTTTTCAGTCCCCAGGCATTGAGAAGAATATTGGATACATACAAATGAACTCATTTTGAGAAAGAGATGTGTGGCTCCAGTTTTCATTTCCAGTTAGATGAAAGCACACTTTCTGATGTCTGCATGTGTTTAACAGAGGATTTGAGTTGGGGTACCTAGGATGTCATTGTGAAAAAGAATTGGCACTTCTCTTAACTAGTTGTATTAAAAGGGATTCTCTCAAAGTGGGCAAGAGAGAAGACGATCTTGGTCCTACTGTTGGGTTATACTGTGGTTGCTGGGCTAGTTAAAAAGGTTTGATTCCTTACAATGGAGAATGTTCTAGGCTCTTCAATGCACTTCTTGAAGATGATTCCTCTGTGCAATGGAGCAGGACTGGGAAAGGATTCCGTCCTGCTCTACAGAAGAGCACCAGGGTAGAAAGTCAAGAAGAAACAGAGATCAAGTCCAGCCTTGGGTCAGATTTCACATCCAGCCTCCCACGGTGTCCAAATCAAGCCTGACAGGTTTTGATAGTCACAAGCTCAGAATTTTACCCACGCTGGATCAAGAATTCATAAGTGTGGTCTCTCCAACTGTCCATCTATAGATCTACTTATTCAGCATTCTCTGAGTGCTGGTGGGGTGCTGGGTGCTAGGCTACACAAAAGAGGTTCGTCCTCTTCTTCATTTCCAGACATACACAAAACAGGAACTCACTGCCATTCCCAAAGACAAGCATAAAGAACTAAAAAAATAAATAACAAACAAAACCCAGCACTTGGGAGGCAGAGGCAGGAGGATCTCTGTGAGTTCGAGACCAGCCTGGTCTATAAGAGCTAGTTCCAGAACAGCCTCCAAAACCACAGAGAAACCCTGTCTTGAAAAAAAAAAAAGAAAGAAAAGAATAGCTTTTCTCCCTGAATACTGTAGACTGGCAATAAAAATAAGTTCGTGTTGCTAAAACTGTGAAAAATCCTATCAGGTTGTAGCATTTCATTTAGACCTCCTTGTTGGCAGCATCAGGCTGCTTGGAATCAATCAATGGCAAGCTACAGCATGTTAATTGCCACTGAGAAAGGAAGTGGCAGGTGGTGCCAACTCTGATGAGCTGCAATGCAACTGATGTTTTTTTGCGTGGTGGGGGGGCAAATGACAATTCAGTGATGTCTCTCTTCCCAGGCAGCAGATTGATAGGCTTCTCCCTCCAAACAGAATGGCAGCATGCCCCACCCAGGTGGCTGATCAGAGAAACTACCTCAGCTAGGCAGAGGTGGCAGGGGGCAGCTGGCGCCATCGCACAAATAGAGAAAGTGGCGGTTGATGGATGTGGGCAAGATCCAATGTGGGAACTGATTGTCCTCAGAAGGTTCACTCGGGGCAGAGTCTCCTATTTCATCTCACCTCTCTGCTGACAAGCTTGTAAAAGATTAATCTGCTGCAACAATTGGTAGCTATTCATGATGATGGAAACGTGTTATATGTGCATGGCTCTAAATACCGAAATGAACCCGCAAATAAATGGTTTTGTGTCTCAGGAATCAAAACATATTCATGTGGGCTTGCCGGCCCCTCAGAGGGCAGCGTTCATTTCATCTCTTTCTTCTCGATGAAAGGACCTGGGACAAAGCCTTGATTTCATACAGGAGTTCGGAAATTAGCATAAGACCTCTCATTACCCTAGGCACCTGGAAGGATTTACCTGCTAGCCTCTCATTGGATTCCAGTGGGAGAGGCGGAGAGAGCTCAGCTCAGGTGTGTTCTCTAACAAAGAAAGGTATTTTCAATGCCATCGTAGGGGAGGGACGAGGCCATCCTTACCCCAACCTGCCTGGTCCTCTCATTTTCTTGCCTGGGGACGGCTGGTTTTGAATTCCACTTATTCACCAGGGACACAGCCTTGTGCACAGAGCTTGCTGCTTTCTTCCATTCACAGTCTTTGAGGATCAAGTTTGTTTTGCCTTGGTTCTTAACCTTAGCACATGCAAATGTGTGGAATGTAAATTATAATGCAGCTAGATGGCCACAACGGGACATCAACCGGTCAGTCCTGGGAGCACTCCCCATTCCATTCAGTCTCCCTGCATGGTGAGAAAACTTTGATCCCCTGTTTGAAAGGGATCTGCTTTTCTCATTGGCTGCCAATGGGAAATGCCCACAGTTGTTAGTGCTTTACAGTCTGACCTATGAGGTGAAGAGACAGGGACAGCCACCTCGGAGAAGCTTGACGGGTATTGTTTGAGAATCTTCTGGAACTCAGTTGCCTTCTCAGTGATCCTGAGTGGCAGACAGACTCAGCCTTTCCACACCTGTTAACTACAGACCACCATCCCAAGCCTTCAGGAGCAGACTGGGTAAATATGCCTGCTTCTTCTTCCAGCTCACTTCTGCAGAATAGGGAGGACGATGGGGAGGAGAGGAAGACGTAAAGGAAGAAAGGGCGAAGGAAAAGAAAACATAATGTTCTGGCTTTGACCCTCAGCACCACAAAAAAGGAAAGAAAGAATGCAAAAACCATGACAACCAGTTGACCAGGGCAGCCCCTGGACCCCACACTAGCATAAGAGTCACTGCAAATTCAGCTGGCCCCACCTGTTGGGTGCTATAAACTCTGCCTCATAGTTTCCTGTCTCATCCCGAAAATGCAATCCTGAGTAAGCATTGTCTGAATTCTCAGAAGATGAGCCCAAGACACAAAGAGGCTCAGCCACTCAACTAACTACCATCGATCATGGTCATGTCTGTAGTGACCCAACCCAGCTGTGGCCTCGGAAGTCTGGGGCCTGGATCTCCAGGCTGCACAGCCCTACTCTGCACCCCCTCTGGTCTCCTGCCTGGTATCACCTGCACTTTCCCTCCCTGCTTCGGATGGGTTTCCATCACCAACCCTCACAAAAAAACGTGCTAGCACCTGCTCCATCAAGCTCAACCTGGGAACACAGTCCAGGCGCCACTTGATCCAGTGTTTTGTGCTGCTTGCGCGTGTGCATATATGATCCAGTATTTTGCCCTGCTTTCATGTGTATGTGTGTGTGCTCCAACATGTAAATAGAGGTCAAAATTGTTAAGCTACTAGCTCTGCTGCATCTCTCCAAACTCCAACCTGAGACCCACAAGCTGCATGCTCCCTGGGATAGCTATGGATGTAGCCTGACATAAATCCTGAACTCACTTAAAACTCAGTGTTATATATTTTTTGTCCCCCACCCACCCGCCAATTGTGCTGTTCTCCAGCATGAACTTTGTTGAGGACAAGGTCATGTTGCTACTAGACTAAGGAGATGCCTTTTTTGTTTGTTTGTTTTTTTACGAGACAGGGTTTCTCTGTATTGTTTTGGAGGCTGTCGGTCCAGCCTGGCCTCGAACTCACAGAGATCCGCCTGCCTCTGCCTCCCGAGTGCTGGGATTAAAGGTGTGCCCCACCACCGCCCGGCTAGGAGATGCCTTTTTAAAAAAATCTCACATACTGATGGAGTTGTGAACCTAGGTTAGGATGTGGGTGTCATGAAATCATGCCTCCATCCTAACCTGGCATGGTGGCCCATACCTGTCTTCTCAATACCTGGGAGCTGGAAGCAGGAGGATCTGGAGCTCAGGGTCAGCCATAGCCATATGGTGAGTTCCAGGCCAGCCTGGATACACAAGACCCTGTCTCCAAAAAAAAGTATGTGTGGTATGAGAAGGGTGCAGGAGAGATGGCTCAGCAGGTAAGAACACTTGCTGTACAAGCTTGGGGACCTGGGTTTATATTCCCAGCACCTGTGTAAAAGCCAGGCATGATTGCGCTTGTGGGGTAGATACAGACTCACTGCCCAGCTGGGCTAGCCAAGAGGGCAAATTTCACATTCAGTGAAAGATCCAGTTTCAAGGGAATAAAGAAAGCATTAGAGAAGACACGGTGGCACGCTGGAGTGACAGCATAGCTGTATGCACTCACCTACACACAGGCACACACAATGATAGATGCGTTTTAAAGAAAGGATTATACCCAGTGCTAAAGAACAAAGGGATATGAGAGGAAAAGAACTGAGAGAGGGTTTGGGGTGAGTGTGAGGAGAGGTGGCTCTTGCAGGCTTTTAGGGGGACAAGGCATTCCATGAGGGAGGCAGGACATTAGTCATTGGAAAAGCCCTCATGGTCCTGTGTCACACTGGAGCTAACAGCCTGATCCTGAGCAGTGCTAGCACATGTCCTGTCCCCTCCCCATCCTAGAATAATAGTAGTTTGATATGTGCACGGATATGTGTGTGTGCAGCACTCATGTGCATGCATGTGTAAATAAGATCTAAGGAGAATAATTTTGGAGTAATCCAGCAGTTCAATAAGTATATCCTTTCTAAACACATTCCCCGAGGGAGAGGTAGCTAGGTTAGGATTCTAATTCCTGTTCAGTCTTGCTCCCGGGCTGCCCCAGAAACTTGATGTGCCTTGATGTCTCCATCTGTGACACGGGGATGCTCCCCCACCTGCCTGCTGTATATAGTTTTTAAATGGATGTCACAGGGCTGTAGAGGAAGCTCAGAGGTTAAGGACACTTGCTGCTTTTGCAGAGGATCTGGGCTTGATTCCCAGCACCCATATGGTGGCTCACAACCATCTGTAACTGCCGATCCAGGGGATTTGATGCTTTCTTCTGGCCTCATGTGCATCTGGTATGCACATGGTGTATAAACCTACATTCATATACATTATATAAAAATAAGTAAATAATGCATCATATTCGTTGTATAAAAATAAATAAATCTTAAAAGAAAAACACTTTAAAATGGGGACAGCCAGCATTTAACTTTGTAATTGGATTCAGCGGCTCAGTCCCAACAACAGAGCCAGAAAAGGACCCACAGAGTTTCAGGTCAGAGGGGGCAGTTTCTTGTAATGGGAGACATAGGCAGAAGACAGGTCAGGTTGTGCACTCCTTACAGGACTGTCCCTTGGATAATGGTATGGAGTCATTTCTACGTCCAGCCCCTTCCTTGTCCACTAGCCAGCAGTGCTTCAAGCCCACTCTTCGGGGTTTTCCGAAGAAGCCACCTGCAGATTTAGTTCCATTTCACACACCCCTGGCCTTCCTCCGTGAAAGGGAATGTCTCAGCTCTCAATAGATTTAGTATCTCCCCAGCAAACCACACAAGTCTGGAGATGGGGAGGAAGCAGTTACTACCATAGCAGAGAAATCTTGGTTCCAAGTCACACTGATTTGGGAAGGGGCAGAGGAGAGGGGAAAACAGAGTGGGGATGATAATCCATAGTGTGAGACCAATTGTAAAGTGACTCCCACCTGCTTTCTTTTGTCCTTATAAGCTAGGAGTCCAGTGCTTGAATCCCAGCACTGGAGAGACAGAGACATACATGCAAGTCCCTGGGACTCACTGGCCAGCCAGCCTAGCCAAATTAACAACTCCAGACCAATGAGAGCCACTGTCTCAAAAATAACAGCAAAAAAAAAAAAAAAAGAGGATTATGTTGTCCTTCTCTGGCTTCCATGCACTCAAATGTGCAGGTGCCTGTGAACTGTAGTGAGATTTTTTTCTTCCGGGACAGATGTAAACATCTACCTAGTCGTTATAAGGTCAAGGACAAACCAAAGTTTACCCAGGGAAACCAATGAGTTCATGGGGCTTCCTTACAGAGCAGGAGCGTGGGGCACTCAAAGTAGCCACTGTAAAGTCTGCACCTAGGATGGACACTGGCTTCCCATAGTGTATACATAAGGTCCCTTTCTGTTAACCTTTCCTAGTCTATATGCTGATTCGCTTCCCCAGACCAGAGGCCATATGCCATTAGGCAGAACTGCAAACAAATGACTGGGAAGAGTGGCTGGACTATTAGGTGAGACTCCAATGGCTCTCCCGCCCCCTCCTGTGACGGAATGTCCACAGTTCACAGGCCCAGTTGGGATGGGTTCTTCAAAGGAAGCACAGCTAATCTGATGAAGATGGCATCGGCTTCACCTGGAGGACCATGTTCTACAACACATACTCACAAACGAATGTGCACTTACATATCCATAACATGTATTCATACGCACACAAGCTTAGCTGCTGCTACCATTCTTAGCCATGTTCTCGGGTCATCCCCTGGATGACTTATGTCTCAGCTGCTGATTCTAGAGATTTGCCTTTGTAGCTGGTAGTCAGCTATTAGGGAAAAATGTATCAAGAACCACAAAGATATATATTTACATAAATTTATCAAGGGGTGCTATGGGGAATAGACTCATGGATACAGGAAAAGGCATAACCAGTTGCAGAGTCCTTTCATTTTGTCCAAAGGAACTAGGAACCCACCACACACTGCTTCACACTGCCTGACCCAGTCTCCACGACCCAAGTGAGCACACAGCCCCTCCTTTTAAGCAGTCAAGTCCACAGACAAGAAGCCACGCACTACGTCTGGTACCCCAAAGCTATTGGTGAAATGAATTGCCACAATAAAGAAATCTCTCTGTGTATCTACAGTTCATTGTGAGACCCCTGAAGGATATAGCTAAGTGCATCATCTGTTTCAAGAACCTGGAGACCAGCCCCCCAAAGTCATCTGTGTAACCCTCAAAGACACCCCACTATGGCTGGATGTGGTGCTGTACATCTTTAATCCCAGCACTTGAGAGAGACGCAGAGGCAGATGGATCTCTGGGTTGGAGGCCAGCCTGGCCACCAAGGTGAGTTCTAGGCTACTCAGGACTATACAGTGAGACATTGTCTCAGAAAACAAAACAAAATTCATTCCACCCTCAGTCTACCATGTTCTCAAACATGCCTGAGGCCTCCCACCTTCTTGCTGCATGCTCCCCATGCTCACTGGCAGGCTGGCCTTTGAAGACCACCACTGCAAACCCAGAGTCCTTGAGTGTGCACAGCAAGGTTTCTATAGTCACGCCCAACGACTCCAGAATATGCCTATATTCAGATATTCCTTTCCTCAAAAGGACATCAGTCTTCCTGGACCCATTATTCTTCAGGGAACATGCCAGAAGAGGGGCCTCAAAGTCCCTAAGGAGGATGCTTAGACGACCCCTCACATAAGAACTGTGCCTGCCCCTTCTCCCCAGATTCTTTCATATCACACACAGGGCTGTCATCCTGGGAGCATACCTCCTTATCCATGATCAGAGAGCTTCCCAAAAGACTTTCCCAGGCTCTTCTGCTCCCTTCCCACGTGTGTCACTGTGGTCAACAACTTCTGGTTATAGATTGGGACCTGCAGTGCTTGTAAAATGCTCATCCCATGTTACAGTCACATGGCTCTAAGATGTGTGTTAGCTTCCTGGGACTGCTAACACAAAGGACCAAGAACTGGGTGGCTTGGAGCAAATAGAGATCAACTTTAGTTTAGACACTGGAAGTCCAAAACCCTGGCGTCTGTTGAGCGAGGATGCCTCGAGATTCTAAGACACTTCCATGACTCTGCCAAGCACTACTTGGCTTGTGACCATCTGCTTCCTATCCTGCCCTCTCTGTGCTTGCCTGGGTCCAGATGTTCCTCGTCTCACAAAGCTTTCTTGAATTGGCTGGCCACTGTACTTCAGGGACAAGCTCACTGGCAGAATTGGCCTTCAAAGACTACCACTAGTCCAAAAAGGATCTGAGGTCATTCTAACTGTGTCTTCAATAATCCTATTTCCAAGTAGGGTCCCCTGAGGAGACACTGTTCAGTCTAAAATATTCACTTGTAGGGAAACCTCCCCCTGGCATAAGCCTTTTAAGTTTTACTGTAACCTGTTTTGAGATGACTAGCTAGCCTTCATCCTTAGCTTTGAAGAAATATGATCTTTTTTTAAAAAGGAAAACACTGTAAAAGTAAAGTTGACAGCTATGTGACAAGTAAAGATTGCACACTCAATTTATGAACTCTGTCTGAACCGAGCTCCAAGATGCCAATTTTCACTCCATTATCTTAAAACCTTAGCTACTTTTCCAGAGTTCTCCCATTGGTTATGCCGCCCCATCCATTTGTCAAATTTTAATATCAAACACATTCTTTTACTTCTTCACAAGGAGTGGCTGGACCTGAGGACATTCAATACTGTTTACTCCCCTCCCAGTAGAAAGGTTTCTTCTCTTGCATATTTTAATTTGATTTCTATATTTTAAATCCTATAAGAACTTTTTGTTATTTTGTGTGTTTATCATGCTTTTGGACCTGTTTGTAGCTTACTCTTTTATTCTTATTACTTAC